CCATAAAAACATTTCCATCACGAAAACAACTCAGCATTTTATTTGGTTTAAAATTGAGAATCGTTTTCTAAATTCAGTGAAGAATATTTACGTCTGTGGTGTCTATATACCCCCCTGTAACTCAAAATACTTCGATAACGAAATTTTTGATCAGCTAGAACAAGACATAGTACGTTTTTCTTCGAAAGGATCAATAATTCTCATGGGTGACTTTAACTCGAGAACCGGGAAATACTCTGATACTGTCTCAAAGGAGGGAAACAGTAGAATTAGTAATGATCAGTCGGAATCTGCTTTCCAGCCAACTCAAAGAAACAGTTTTGATAATGTTTTAAATAGCCATGGGAAACGGCTGTTGGAAATTTGTAAAACCTTTGAGCTAAGAATAGTTAATGGCAGAGTTAATGGAGATACCCTAGGCAGACCCACTTTTCATGGAAAAAACGGAACGAGCGTTATTGATTATCTAATATGTGATCAGTGTACATTTCTCAACGTTGCAAATTTTGTTGTTAAACAGCCATCTTATTTATCGGATCATAGTGCCATCGTGGCATGGCTCAATCTTAACACCAGGTTAATTGGAGACGAAATGCACACTCCCAATAGTAGCAATAGATTATCAAAATTACCACGGCAATTTTGCTGGGAAGTTGACTCACATTTAAAATTCAAAAACGCACTGCGCACGGAACCAATCCAAATTCTAATTAGACAATATATGGAGAGAAACACCGAAGATGTGAATATCTCCTTAGAAAACGCTATGAAAATTCTAACTGAGAGCTCCAAGCTATGCCTAAAAATTAAAGCTAAGAAAACTTATAAGCGTATTAAGAAATCATCCAACAAGAAATGGTTCGACTGTGACTGTCGCTTGAAAAGGCATGAATTACGAAAAGTCTCAAATGAAAAGCACCGTGACCCCCTCAACTCCGAAGTGCGGGAAAGATATCACAAAACCTTGAATGATTACAAAAAGCTCCTAGACACAAAGAAGAGAGGATTCCATAAAGAAAAAACATTACAACTCGACGAACTAGCTCTAAATCCTGACAAGGCGTCATTTTGGAATTGTTTAAATTCGATGAGCGACACTTTCAACGAAAATGTTCCTGCCCCAATCTCGGAAGAATCATGGCTTCACCATTTCAAATCTCTGCATTCTATTGACCCGACGAATTCCACGCATGAACATGAAATCCATAGGGAACTAAATTCTTTAGAACACGAAAAGGAACAGTTTAACCATCTCGATTATGAGATAACTGAGAGGGAAATACGTCAAGCGGCGAAGAAATTGAAAAATAAGAAATCACCATTTGTTGACAAAATACGAAATGAAATGATCAAAGCAAGCCTCGAACCACTAATGCCTGTCTATGTCAAACTTTTGAACCTCATTTTACAATCCGGAAAAATGCCAGATGTTTGGTGTCAAGGCCTCATAACCCCAATTTACAAATCTGGTGACAAGAGTGATCCAACAAATTACAGAGGCATATGTGTTTCTAGTTGCCTTGGAAAATTGTTCTGTTCTATTTTAAATCGAAGACTTCACTTGTATTTTGAGGAAAATAAGATATTACATAATTCCCAAATTGGCTTTTTGCCTGAAAACCGCACTGCAGACCATGTTTTCACTCTAAGGACCCTAATAGATAAATATGTGCATTATCACAAGGAAAAAGTCTACGCTTGTTTCGTAGATTTCCGCAAAGCGTTTGACTCTGTTTGGCACGAAGGATTGTTTTATAAGCTGCTAAAAACGAATATAGGAGGAAACTTGTACAACCTCATGAAAAGTCTTTATTGCAACTCGACATGTTCCATCAAAATCGGTGAAAACAAAACACAGCCTTTTTCATATTCCAGAGGTGTACGTCAAGGCTGTATTTTAAGTCCTCTTTTATTTAACCTCTATTTAAACAATCTACCACTTTTATTCGAAAACACCTTATCTGACCCATTTGTTCTTCCAAATGGGAAAAAAATAAATTCACTTTTGTACGCAGATGATTTAGTTATTCTATCAAGATCGAAAACTGGATTACAGAACTGTTTAAATGCGCTTTCTTTGTATTGTGACAAATGGAAGCTAAAAATTAATCCGAAAAAAAAAAATTATGATATTCCAGAAACGCCCCAAAAAATCTATTGACATCAAATTCAACATAGGCAGTGAGTCAATTGAAATTGTCCAAGAATACACTTATTTAGGTACACGTTTAACTCCAACGGGAAACTTTACACTTGCACTCGAACACTTAAAAGAAAAGGCCCTTCACGCGTTTTCTAGTATTCGGAAGCGGACAATTCTTAACAAACTTAATCCTAATACTGCATCCCAAATTTTTGACACCATGGTATTCCCAATCTTGAGTTACAACAGCGAGGTATGGGGAATGTACACCAAGCAAGATTTTAAAAAATGGGATAGCTCCCCAATAGAAAAAATCCACCTCAAATTCTGTAAACGTTACTTAGAGGTTAACAATAAGGCCTCTAACATAGCCTGCAGAGCTGAACTTGATAGACTGCCGCTGCTTATCCCGATAAATCAGAAAATTATGAAATATTTTGTTTACCTCAACAACAAAGATAATGGCTCTATAGTCAAACAGTCTTTCCTTATGTCAAAGAATCTACATTCTATGAATAATTCCGGATATTTTTCCAATTTCATAAACATGTTTGAACAATACAATCTAACCAGTTTAGATGCTGAATCTCTAGATAATGATAAAATTAGACGATATACCACAGAAATGAGAGAGAAATATCTATCTTTTTGGCGGCACAGCCTCGAAAATTCAAAAAAAATAGAATTTTATAAAACTTTTAAAGATGAATATTCTACATCTGATTATCTCTACCAACTAAGACATTATGACGAACGACAGAATTTTGTTAAATTTGAAATAAGTAATCACAAACTTATGATTGAACATGGTCGATACCAAATCGATCATTTGCCAAGAGAAAATAGATTATGTCCTTTATGTAACTCAAATCAGGTAGAAGATGAGATTCATTTCCTTTTTCAATGTAACAAATACTCAGTACAGAGACAGGCATTTATTAATCAAATCAATCGAATAATACCTGAATTTGACAAGAAATCATGTCCAGAAAGCATAAAACTGATAATGAATTCGAAGGAACATCATGTAAATAAGTTAGTTATGAAGTTTGTTTCCTCGTGCATGAAAATACGTGATTCATTGTTAGTAATGTAACCGAATTTTTCTAGATTATTATTAGTGCTGTTTTGTTTTATATTTTGATTGTCATATACATGCTTTTGCAATACTGTAAAATGATGCGGTCATGCAAATAAAGCAATTTATTACTATTACTATTACTATTACTACTACGACTACTACTACTACTACTACTACTACTACTACTACTACTACTACTACTACTACTACTACTACTACTACTACTACTACTACTACTACTACTACTACTACTACTACTACTACTACTACTACTACTACTACTACTACTACTACTACTACTACTACTACTACTACTAATAATAATAATAATAATAATAATTGTAATACACAACAGACCAGAAAGAGTAGTTGTAAACAAGAAGGAAAGGCGCTACACAATAATAGACATTGCTTGCCCATTTGACCATTGAGTAAGTCTTAAAGAACAGCTAAGATAATTACTCTAAGGATCCACTGGTTTCTGCGATCATTACTTATTTAACTTAAGAATATATATTTTTGTAACAGTTTCTATTTTTGTAAAGAGGTTTTGAGTTGTAAAATTCCCTCCCGAATTAGAGCGTGCCTCAAAATTCAAAGCAATATTGGCAAGATAATGCCCATAAAAATGGCTCTTGTGTTTATACGTATATGTCTTAATCAGAAGATAACTTCTTTCAATATCCTGCGAGGACGTAGAGTAGTCTATGGCTAATTGTAACAGAAATTTACCCTAGCAACGTACGTTATTTTTATCATTTCATGACATTAACGTGACATAAAGCCATCGTTTTTTTCAATAAAGTTTTCAAAGGCCGCGTCATCTTTTTTTGGAGTATATTTATAATTGAGGCTATTTGCCATGGACCATGACGCCTCTTCATTAGACAAATCACGGCACTTATGATTTTGAGTGTTTGCAAAAGAAAGAATTGGTCAAGAATAGCCATTGTCACAGAAGGGGACATCGCATTTATTTTAAAAATCCAGAAACGGCCGGGAAAAGTTGTCACAATCAAGCAAACCGTAATGAGAATTGATAATAGGGACTTTGAGCAAACACTACGGAAGTATGTAGTTCGGTGACGGGAAGTGATTCTTTTCCTGCCAGGCCGTCAAACATGCCTCAAGTAGGAAGTTTTAAGATACGGCGAGGACAGCATTGAAAACGTCGCTTAAAAAGTGAATTTGAATTCTTTTCTAGGTGTTTATTGCGATTATTCCAACTCTCTTACTCAAATGTATGCGAACCGTCTCCCGAAGCTGAAGTCGTGCAGTGACCCCCTACGGCAAAGAATTGTACAAAAAACAAGTGTGATGCATGTGCTAACTTTTCAACCTTTGCCTCTGTTTTATCAACTCCCGCCTATTCACATCACTTGGCAAAATGTTATCCTCTTTCCCATCAACTTTATTTGTTGTGTTTGGCTGTATTATTCACTTGGGTGTAGTGCCTGACACCGAATTTAAAGATCATAATTTCCGAGAAATAAGCCCTCAGAAGTTGTCAAGGATGACCAAAAAGAAAATATCTGCGTATTTCGAGTAATTCTGTTTCAAACACTATCGTAGTTAGCATGTAAAATACAACTAAAGAGTTATGTACTTCACTTGTGACTACGGCCCACCATGATCTCCTCGGCCAGAGCGGACTAGGTTTAATTAGCAAATATCCCCTCTGCTCTAGACTCAAGTGCTAGGGCCCCTCTCTTTATTCAGATAGATTGTCATAGCCGTAGTCAGATAGATTCATCTTCCCCGCTCTCCCCACCTCTC